CCCCCCCCCCCCCCCCCCGGCCCCTGGATGCTTGGGCGCCCCTCGGGGCTGAGGGTACCCGGGTCAGCTCCGGAAAGCCTGGCAGACGCTTTGCTTCCTGCCTGCTGTAGCTGGAGAAAGCCTTAGTGGGGAAGGTCATGAAGAGACTGGAACTTCTTTTCCTCCTTTCATCACTTAGTAGGTTTGATGGCATAAGATTCCTGAAAGAAGTAAAATAAATTTTCTTACTGAGAAGCCACAGTTTAAAATATTAAATGTTATGAAAGGCGTCAGTCTAAGAAAAATAGGTGAATGGGCGAATATTTTCAACTAATATTTATTGTTCTAGGCTTAACGGTAATGAGTAAATCACATCTGTTCGCGGCTTCGCAGTGAGGAACAGCAATACTAAAATAATCACAAAGTGATAATTGTGATAAGTGCTATCATTGCATGTTGGGCTCAACAGACAAATGGGGGCGGACAGCGATCTGGCTTAGTTTCAAAGGACTTTCTTGAGACAAAGAGCAGAGGCAATAATGTGTATCCTAAGCCAAGTGAAAGAGTGTTTAATAAAAGTAGAAAGCCAATGTGGAGAGGTGAGGAAGAGGATGCTTTGGCCTGGGGAAGATGTAGGTATTAACTTGCGGGCGATTTTAACCTGAAGAAAAGGGTCTGGATGTGTTCACAGCAAAGTAGTAGGGAAAACTGGTTGTAGACCCAGTGGGAGAGGAATGTTAAAGGAGAGGGGGCAGTGGATAAGGAGGGAGGGGTAGGTTTGAGCTGACTCTAGGCAGTTAAAGTTGATGACACTGTTGGGTTGGCTGTGAAAGTGAGGAGTGGAAGTGTCAGAGAGGACATTGCTTCTGATGGACAGTTGCAGATCGTTAGCAAGGCAGTCTGGAAGAGGACCAGGCTCAGAAGATTAATGTATAGGAATAAGTCGATTTTTAGTGCTGAGTCTTTACCTCCGGATTTACAAGCTTCTTAAACATTTTCTGCATGATTCTTAAGTTATTTCAGTTTTACAGCAAAAGAAATGTAGTTAGGTAATTGGCTAGATATATATGGGCTTTTTTCAGTGTTCTAAGTTTGAATTTGGACTTTTAAATAACTCAGCCTTGTTATGGAAAGTACTTTGGCCTCCATATAAAAAAGCAAAAGAAGGGCCAGGGATTTGGCTCAGTGGTTCTGCCTAGCATCCCCGCTACCAAAAAAAAAAAAAAAAAAAAAAAAAAGCAAAAGAAGAGCCTCATCTTGCAGTCTTCAGCCTGCGACCACCAGGTTTGCCGGCCTTACAAGCGTTGCAAGGATCTTGTCATAAATCCTTTGGGAATTCTTAGAGTGGTAGGAATTGGCAAAATTCATTTAACAAATGCTTAGTTCACTAGAATCTATGTAAACTTGTTCCATCCTTCCTGGAATGAATAGATACCAATTGAGCAAGTGTATATCAGCTATATGGCAAAGAAGAGCAACAAATAAACAAAGAATAGAAATTATTTTCATCTCTTCAGTCTGCATAGTTTCAAAAAGCTTGCAAGCAGTTTGACCTGTAACAGGATGGGACTGTCTACCTTCTCATCCCTTATGATTATATCTAGTAACTCATATGTTTAAATTATGTTCCAAGAACTTTCCTTGCAAATAGATAATTAGTATCTCATAAAGAATATAATAATGTATTATAAGTGAAATGCAACTGTTCTTTGGGGCAGTAATCTTTTAATCACTTTTTTAAGTATAGGAATGTTCATGGTGACTTTAATTTTTAAGAAGCAAAAAATGGAAAAACCCATATGTTTATTACTAGAAAAGTAGAGATTTTAAATCTTCAGTATATTTTTATATCATGAAATTTCTCAAACAAACTACATGTTTATTAATAGGAAGCTAGATTTAAAAACTTCAGTACGTTAGGATAGTTCTGAAATGAAAAGGAACTAATTAATGTTATGAAAGGGATCAATCTTGAAAACATGCTGAGATGCCTTAGAACAGAGTCACATATGGTTTAATTACATTTGTATGAATTCTTAGACTACAGTGGGGAAAAAAAAAATTGTGGTTGCCTTAGGCTGGGGATGGAAGTTGACCTGGGAGAGGTGTGAAGGGATTTCTGGAGTATGCTGATCATGTACAGTTTGAAAGACATTTTGGTCACAAAAGTGTACATACCTGTGACCTTTAGATTTGTACATATCATAAGTTTTACATAAAGAATTTTTTTTTATTGAGTTTATTGGTACATTTAGGGATACAGTACAGTTACATTCATTGTTGGGATCATGTACCTTTACATGGCAAGTCTTGATTCTCATTTTTTTCCCCTTACCTCTGCCCTCCCTTCACCCCCTCCTCCCCTCCCCATCTACAAACACTTTATTTTCATCTTTTCATTCTCTCACATTTTTTTCTTTTCCCTTTTTGTTCTTCCCCTACGTATCACACCTTCCCTACACCTTTAGCTCCTTTCCTCCCATTTCTAAATGTCAGTAATCTTATTAGAATCTTATGCATTGTTGCAGAATATTCACACCAGGGAAACTATTTGGTATTTACACATGTGGGACTTATTTATTTCACTTAGGAGTATATCTTCAATATGTATCCATTTTCCTATGAATGATTCTATTCTCTCGCTCATAAAGAATTTTAAACAAAAACTGAACTCTAGTTAATGTTATGTATGCTGAAGTATTTCAGGATGAAATATACTGTTGCCTGCAATTACCTTGAAATGAACAAAACTTAAAGGACTAAAAAGAGGAACAAATAGATGGCTAGATGAAGCGTGTTAATTATGGAATAGGTATTGGGTTTTTTGATGTAGTCTTTCAACTTTTCTGTATGTTTTAACATTTGCATAATAAAACATTGAGAGAAATAATCCTCTAAGGAATACTGCTCATTTTACACAACTGAAGACTAATATGAAAATATAAACAAAAATATATAAACAACACAATCATAAACTCACCTGAAATACCATATTTCCCTGAAAATAAGACCTCATTAGAAAATAAGTCCTAGCATGACTTTTTTCTAGGATGCTTGTAAGGTAAGCCTGAAAGTAAGCCCTGGTTAAGATTATCAGCCAGAGGGCCCGGGATTTAGCTCAGTGGTGCTGCCTGCCTTGCAAGCACAAGGACCAGAGTTCAAGTCCCCGGTACCAAAAAAAAAAAAAAAAAAAAAAAAAAAAAGATTACCAGTCAGAGAGAAGCATTTAGTCCACTGTGACACATGCTGGACTTAGTGAATTAAATAATTAAAAATAATTTATCGACATTCATATTTTAAATAAATGATATTATGAATTATAATTAAGTACTTATAAATACCCAAGTGGGCACCTTTGGACAAGAGATAAATGCCTGTGTAAACAGAAGAACTTGAGGCTTAGCTGTAAAATGACGAATTGGAGTAGAGACACAATTCGCAAATAATGTGTGCCATTGATAAACAGATGTGGCTGTGTCTACAATGAATCTTCAAAATTTGCTATAGTGTATGTTGTAACAGATGTACCTAATGCACTTGTGTGAGATAAAACATTTTCTGAATTTTGGTGCCTACAATATTTCAATACTTTCATGTGGGCTATCATCCTTGATTGTCATCTTTTTTTTTTTTTTTTTTTGTAATGGGGTTCGAACTCAGGATCTTGTACTTGCTGGGAAGGCATTGTGCTGCTCAGCTACATCCTCAGCCCCAAATGATTGTCATCATATTTTTGCCACTCCTGTCTCTTAAGTTTTTAATTAGCACTTGATTTAATGGAAACTTTGTAAAGCCAGCCGCAAGAGGTCATGACTTGGGTGACAAATTCATGAGGTAAAATCACTGACAGCTCTGTTGCCAATACACTATAAGCAGTCTACAAAGACAGGAAGTACTCATTTAAGGATAGCGCTCTTGCTGGACAATAAAATACAGAACTTACAGACTCAGTTTATATGTCATTTTTTTTAACTGAATCTGTAAGATCTGTATTTCGCTGTAATTTAATAAAATGCATTCTGGTTTTATGCATATTAAAAGATATGTTCCCTTCGTTAGTTTCAAGCCTATGTAAAAGTGACACATAAACCAGGACTTCAAAAAATTAAAATTCTGAATTTTTTGTAGTGTATATTGTCTTTATTTTTCTATCTAATTTTCACCAAAACCTGAGTGACTTGCCACCTTAAACGCTGATGGCTTGAGTCTGAAGCAGAACTCATCCATGTTTTCCTAATTAACAGTTAAAAGTCAACATGTCAATATATTAAAGCAGTGTTTCTCAGAAACCAGAGGCCTGTTGACATTATCTAGGGATGCTTTTAAAACACAGATGTTTCCTCTCTCTTCTGTGAAGAACCAGTAGAGTAGGACAGTAAAAAGCAAGACATTTTAGAGAATGAATAGTAACATATAAGTGGATCAAGGGGAGATTTACCTGGATGTCTAAAAATAGTTACTTTTGAAGGTTGACATGAAATAGTCATTATCATTGATCATCATGAATCATCTTTGATCCCTTGATCAGTTCATTAGTTTAATGGATAGACCAGTGGTCTAAATCAAAATAAAGATGCTGATGTAAAACTATCATGACTAAACTGAGATGGCCATGATACTCTAAAAGCCAAATATCTTAAAGTCAGTTACTTACAAAGCATGATTTTATAGTATGATGTCCATTTCTGATCTGATGATTATTCAGACTTTATTGAGATCATGCTGTGTGGCATGGGTCTGCTTTAAATTTGTTAGCTGACTCCATGCTGAAGAAATACTTTATTTATTTATTTGGTACCAGGAATTGAATACTGCTGAGCATGGTGGCACCTTCCTAAAATCCCAGCACTCAGGAGGCTGAGGCAGAAAGATTACTGTGAGTTTGAGGCCCAGCCTGAACTACATAGTGAGACCCTGTATAAAAAAAAAAAAAAAAAAAAGACTAAGTGACAGATGTTATGATGTTAAGTATTTCAGGATTTCCTAAAAATTTAATTTTCACATTAAGAAAATTAACAGCACTTCTCTAAGAGCATCTAATACCTCATCCATACTCACATTTCCCTCTTGCATGTCTAACATGTCTTTTCAACTGCTTTTTCCCCCCCTCCTCCAATACTGGAGCTCAAACTCAGGACCTTGGACTTGCAAGGCAGGTGCAATGCCCCTGAGCTAAATCTTGGGACCCTTCAACTGCTTTTTTTTTCAAATACATTGAATTTTATAATTATGTCTGTCAGTCTTTTTATTTAAGTATAGCCTGACCTTTCACTTGTCATTCCCAGTTATGCTGCCCTTTTTGAAGACACCAAGCCAGTTGTCTTGTCTCATAGTCTGGACCTGTGAGATGGTTACCTTGTAGTGTCCTCTAATTTATTCCTCTCTAAATCTGGCCTGGTACCCCTGGATAAAGGAAGTGAAATCTACAGATGTGATGGCCAGCTGTCTGTTTGGTAGAGGATCTTTTTATCTTTTCAATCTGGAAGTAGTCTGTAGGTGACCCTTTGACATCTACATTCTACCTATTGATTTCTTTTTGTATCTTTATTGCCTGAATTAGTGATTTCATGGTGGGGGCAGAATGGTGATTTTCTGATTACATTTCTTCTCCATTTATTAGCTGTCTTTCTCCTCTAAAGAAGAGCTTTTTCTCATCAACAGTGGATGAATACATTTCTTCCTAAAAAGGTATGATAAGTGCACACTTATTAGTTAATTATCAGTTTACCAGTTTTCAGTGTAAGGAATCAGAGTGTATTTGTCATGTGCAGTTGTGACAGATTATCAATCTCTTAGATTTTTTGCATATTCAGTGTGTTAATTTTTTTTCATAATATTTAAATTTTACTATATTTGGCCAGTGGGAGTCCCTTCATGTCGCCAAACTATAAATCAAATATCAACAAACAAAATTCTAATATTGTCAGGGAAATCTGAGAACTAAATATCTGATAATATAAAGAAAAGGTTATTAATTGGGATAATGTTATTATAATTATTGAGAACATGACAGAGCCCCTCTTAGAGATATATCCTGAAGAATTTAGTGATGACCTAGTTTTACTTTGAAATAGGTAATAGATGGTGTTGGGTATAGAGATGAAATGAGTTTGGCTATATGCTGTTTATTACACTAGTCTTTCTGTACATTTGAAGTTTTTCCTAGTAAAATTCTAAAGTTATAAATTTATGTAATTTGCAATTCAAACTTTATGTTTTTTAACTTTGTATTTATATTTTTATGTATAAAGACATGTCCTAAGAAACACGTATATTTTCAGCTTTGCTTATACAAAGCCAACATTAAGCAGGCCTTAAAGCTTAATTGTAGTGCACTGCATTGTCTACTGTAGAAGTCAAGAAAATAAATTAAAAGCTTTTTTGTTTTGGTTTTTGTAGTTGGGATCGAACTCTGGACCTTTATGCTTGCAAGGCAGGTGGCTGTACCACTGAGCTAAATCCCTGGCCCTTAAAAGCTTTTTTGAATCTAAAGTTAAATTTGAATAATGGTAAACGACTTTGACAAAGCATAGTTTGAGTATTTCTCTAGTCTTTTCCTTCACTTCTTATCTTAGAAAGTGTTTTCAAAACTTTTAAAAACTCCTACATCTTTTTTCTTTAAAAATCTTTATTGCAAGTGTAAAATTATACGTGTGAAAAAGTGATAATTGGAAAATTACTTTTTTATGTCAAATAACTAGGATTTTCATAAATTTCTTTTCATCTTTTTCATATGTCTTGTTTTGTTTTGCTTATATAATGTCTGGGAGAATAACCTACATTTTGAAATATTTTCTATTTTAATATGTTGACAATTTGTTAAATAGGACATGGTGGCTTTCATCCGTGATGCTATGAGGGGAAAAGATACTTAACATTTAAATAATTGATCAATATTTAGTAATATAACTTTACATGTGACAACTTCTGTGTCCTTGTTACTGATAGAGACTTTGGGAAGAAGCAAGGTTGTGATTTTGATGTGAAATTTGCTGGGTGTATAAATTCCTTACAGTCCTAGCGTCTACCACTGTGGTACTCAGAGCATAACTAGGGAAATTTGGGACTTGAGCTGCTGCTATTTTGGTGATGATAAATGAGAAAACAGTCTTTGAGCACTTGAGATTTTTGTGCTTATTTTTGGTTGGGGCTGCTGTGTTTGGACCTTCACGTTCAGGCTCCAGAGGTCCCTAGTCCCTGCCATATACCTAGCCAGCCATGGGAATAAATTATTAAATCTTAACAAACTTTTTCATTACTCTTAGGATGGCTGCTCTTCTTCTAAAGAAATTAACACTGCAAATCATAAAGACTGAAAGTAAGTGTATTGGAAGATGTTTTGGTAAATATATGGTGCAAAAGACAGCCCCAGCACCATTGTCCCTGGCTGCTTCTGCCCCAAGGCTGACCTCTCTAATCCATGCAAAGTGTTTTAGTACTGTGGAAGACACCCAGGATAACAGGAAAAGAAAAACAAACAATAGGACTTTGACTAACACAGGAAGGAAAATTCATGCACGAATTATTCGAGTCTTTGATGAAAAGGGCAGTGATTTGGGAAACATGCACCGGGCAGAGGTGATTAAACTCATGGACGAGCAAAACCTGAGGCTGGTGCAGAGGAGTGCCAGTGCAGATCCTCCAGAGTACCAGCTCATGACGGGCATGCAAATCCACCAGGAGCGCCTAAGACTGAGGGAGCAGGAAAAGGCCAAACCCAAAACAGGTGAGTATTTTGCTTTCAGCTCCTTGATACTTTTGTATTACAGACAGGTAAATTAAGTTCTTATGTGTTCCAAGGTGCTTGGACAATGGGAGATGAGAAACTGGAAAAATCAAAACATTCATGGCTTCATCATTGTTCCTAGTGTGTTTCCTTACTTATGCCTTGTTTCCATTCTTTTATTTTCTTCATTTTCCTTGATACCTTGTTTCCATTGTCTCTTCATTTCAGCCTGTGTAAAATGAGAAACAAGACAAATCCAAATGGGACAAACTCTTCTTCCCTGGTCCTGTGGTGTTGAGTACAAACGTCATGGCAAGCAGAGTAGCTGATGAAATAAGTGGAATGAAATAAGATTCAGAAGAGATGGTTTCAGGTTTCTCATGGAGATCTCACAGAGCTGCATCCCCAGTCCTGTGTTTATTTTTCTTGCTGAGTTGTCCAGGTGGTGCTGCCAGAGCACCAGAGAGTGTCCTGGCTCGAGCCTCCCAGAGTGCTGGGATCACAGGTGTGCACCATGGAGGGATTTATAGAGCAACTCTCATGCCCAGGTATTTTGTTACAATGGCTCAGTCACCTTCCCAGACACTTGTCACTGAATCCTTGAGGAAGCCATGAATGGATATTAAGTGAAGTTGTTAGTTTCTCATGGCTCCTAAATAGGCTAATCATTATAGAAGATTTCTCAGTTGGAGGAGTGCTGGGACAGGAATCAGGAGAGTGGTCCCCACCCAGCTGTCATGAAGTTGTATACATTGAGAAAAAGCATATATTTGGCTTAGTTTTTGTAGTACTGGGGACAGAAGCTACAACCTTCACACTGAGTTATGTTCTTGGCCCTTTTGTTTTTTTTTTTATTTTGGAGCAGAGTCTTGTTAAGTTACCCAGGCTGGGCTCAAACTTCCAATCCTGCCTCAGCCTCCCAGAGGTTACAGATGAGTGCCACCAAGCCCACCTCTTTGGTAATGCCACAGACAACAAGGATGTTGACAAAAAACAAATATTCAGAAGAGACCAACTAGCTGGGATTAAAGACATCAAACTGTGTCACGTTTAAAAAAAAAAAAACAGACTGGAGAAGTGGGAAGGGCTAATGTGTTGAAGGAATTACTTTGTTCTGATGAGGCTTCAGGACCTACTGATAGGAGTTATGGAAAGGCAAAGTGTTGTTAAAAACTTTGTCAGGCATGGTGGTGCACACCTATAATCCCAGCACTTTGACAGGCTGAAGAAGAATGGCAAGTTTAAACTCAAACTGGGCAACTTAGTGAGACCCTGTCTCAAAAAATAAAAACGGCTGGGGTTGTATGTAGCTTAATGTGAAAACTCTGAATTCAATCTCAAATATCACCACCACCAAAAAAAAGCCACACACACACAAAACTTGTTTGGGAAATTTAAAAACATATAGAAGGAAGATGATATGTAAACACTATCCATCATCCAAAAGGACAAGTGTTAACATGGTTGAACTTTAAGATCTATAAAATATTAGAGAAAAGATGAAGCCCTTCCCAGTCCTCATTGCTGTCCTGTCCTGTCTTCCCAGCAGTCCCTGCTCACTCTCATGGATTCCGTTTGTAGGTCGTCAATGTTGTTAAACTGCCAACACAGATACATTCATAAACAGTACAGATTTTGTGTGTAAAAAGATATAATTGGCACACCATTGTTTCAAGATCTATCCATTATACATATAATAGCTGTAGCTAATTTACTATAATTACCATGTGACATCTCATCCTAAGACTGTATCAAATTTGTTAACCCATTTTCATGACATTGGGCTTGTTCCCAGTTTTTCATTATCATGAATGCTTGTGCATCCTCTAGGTTCTGTGAACCAAACGAGTCGAGTTGCTCTCATCAGCAGTGTGAAAATCTCCTCCTGTACATTCTCACCCACCCTTGGTACTGTCCCACTGATTTTTTTCATGCTAATGATGGGAAACTGTTGCTTATTGTTTTAATGTTATTTCCTTCAGCTACTCAAGCTTTTTCCTGAGTTGCCTATTCATGTTCCTTTACTTTTTTTTTTGGATGATTTTTTTTTTCCAGATTTATAGTTCTCTGTTTGTGTATAATGCAAAAATCTTCTTGGACTTTGAATACCCTTGCTTGGCAAGTAAAAATACCCTTGCTTGGTACTTAGCTGTCTCTCTCACATTTAAAAAAGCAGTGGCTGGGTTCTGACACTGAAAGAAGACCATCACGGCCTCTGTGCAACTGGAGGTGTTCTGAGGTGGGGAATCCAGTCTCAAAGGAGGCACTCGAAGTAGTCCTCGTGCCAAATCTGTCTCTTTCCAACCAGGACCAGTTGTGATAAAGGAACTGATCTTTTCTTCAAATATTAGTCAACATGACTTGGACACAAAGAGTAAACAGATTCAGCATTGGATTGAGAAAAAATACCACGTTCAAATTACCATAAAGAAGGGGAAAAATGCAAATGAGCCAGAAAATAAAACAGTAAGTAAAACCAAGCAAAAATCTTTTTGGTTTTCTGATGTAAAACTACAATGCAAGAAATCTGGAAAAATTAAAGGCAAAGAAAAGTGACTGGTAATTGTACTACCCAGTAATGGTAATTCACTTTTCAATTTATTTTTCAAAATGAAGCATATTGTATCAAGGTGCTTCCACTGTGGCATATGTTGCTGTATGAAAACACTGTTTGACAATGTAAAAGCTATATCCTGTTTTACAAATTGTAGAATATCTAACCTTTAGAAGAGGAAAACTGAAAACTTCATAGATGGCATCTTTTAGATTGTCTCAGGTGCTTACAAGCAGCAGGCTGTTGGTTTAAATGTCTGCTAGGGATGTGTCAGTTTACCGTCCCAGAAGTTCCCTGGCTATGTGTTCTACTTCTAAGTTGTATTATCACCCACCCACCACAGTCAGAATAGTAGGGGTAGTGGTCTTCAACCCTGGCTCTGTGTTAAGACTCACTGAGGCCTAGGGCACAGCCCAGCTGATTAGGAATTTTTGGAGCCTAAGGTGTCTTATTTTTTTTTAATTACCTCAAGTGATTCTGAAGTAGCATCAGCATTGGGAATTGCACTGAGCTGTTTTCAGGATAAAGAAGATACTTTGCCAATACCTTGTGCTTGGTACTCATTTGGAGGAGAGGGTACTCCAGGGTCAAATGTAGCCTCTCGGTGCTGTGACAAAGGGCAGACTTGTTTAGAGTCACTTAACCAGATATGTGAATCGCTCACCCTGTCACTTAAATTAACAGCAATTCCTGGCTGCTGTTTTTCGTCCAAGTTTGAGCACTGACAACAGAAAACATCAGAGGCTGATTTTTAGTTGATTTTTAGTTAATCATGGACTGTTTCCCTTTTGTAGGAGGAAATATTTCATCAAATACTTCAAACAATGCCTGGAATAGCCACCTTCTTATCCAGACCACAAGCTGTTAGAGGAGGAAGAGCTTTAATGTGTGTTCTTTGTCATCTGAGCAAGAATGAAGATAAGGAACATGCAGACTCTCAAATCAAAAAAAGAGACACTTTGAACAAAGAAAATGGAAATGGCAGGGACTCAGATGTGGTGTGCCCATGATTTTAATAAAGAAAAATAGGCTTCTGAGCTATACTAAACTCACTGGTCCGTAGTCTTTCTCCAAGGCCTGGTGACGCCTAGCAGAGGGCGAGTATTACAACTGTGGAGTGCGCCCATCTTCCACATAGCTCTCCAACTCCCCATTTATAGGCAAAGTTGAGTCCTGCTCTTGTTTCTTTTTGGGAGGGATATATCCACTGAGGCGAGAGGCCAAACTCCGTTTTCCACGGGATGGTTTTACCTTTGGGAATAAAGAAGGCAGACAACCAGAATTTAAAATCAGATTTATCTGGATTTTTACAATACTATGCTCTGACAAGGAAACACTCCTTTACAGAGAGCTTCAATGGGGCAGATTCAGGGTAAAGCAGGTGAGAATATTCCAAACACTGCACCAGGCTTTAAGCAGCTGAGGTTTTAGCATGAAAGCAGGACTAAGTAGTTTCAACTTACTTTGAGCTTCATTTTCTTCTTGTCGGGATCGTGTACAATGGCATGCCTAGTGAGACTTTGCTAGGTGAAGGAAATGAAAAACACTGTACATTAAAAACCCAACACTGGTGTCAATTAACATGAAACCTCCATGAGTTATAAACAGACTATCAGCCTTATTGTCTGACCCCACCTTTCACCCCAGAACCTAGGAAAGCTTAACTCTTGGACCTAGCAGATTTCAGTACCTCCTCCAACGACCCATGTTAGGAATTTATACCATCCCAACCACTTGCAGCCTCTTAATTCTATTGTGAGGGAAAGGCCTGTTGTAAATGAGCTTTTCCAAGCTGAAGAGGGTGTTTTAACTGATCCAGTCAAAACAGTAATTCCGAACACCATGGGAAACCTGCCTGGTGTCCCCACTGACTTGACAAACACAGCCTTCAGCTCCAGGTGCTTCCTATCCTTAGTGAGCTTCACTCAGTTCTCTCTCCATTCCCTGACAGTTCACAGCAATGAAACACCAGACAGAGTGAACCTGCCAAATGCACAGGCCCCTCTACTACACATGACCTTCTTCCCTGACCCTTGAACTGTGCTGTGACCTAGACCGGAGCCCCTGAACATCTAGTCCCAAATCTTGCTGCTCATTCTTTTCCCAGGTATAAAATGACACCCACAGCACCAGCACACTCTTTCAGTAACAGGTGTGGATATCAAGGCCACGGGCCTTCCCACGTAGTATTTATTAAAACCAGAGTCCTGGGTGAGCACAGGACAGGGCTGATTCAGAGCCTAAGAATCCGTATTTCTAGAGGGCTTCCAACTTATGCCAATGCTTCTGGGTCAGGGTACACTTTAAGATTCTCAGCAGGCCTGCAGGATGTAGATGTGAGTGAAGAGCCACGAAGAGCCACCCCAGCTGTAGCAAGGATGGGAGAGATGTTGGCCCTGCTCACACAGGAAGCCACCCTAAAGCAGGAGGGCTGCACAGGCCAGGTGGGGCACTTACTTTCATGGCAAACGTTTTGCCGCAGCCAGCCTGTTCACATACAAACGGGCGCTGTTCCTCATGGAAAGAGAGAATATGGCTCTGGAGATTGAACACAGTTGTGTAGGTTCGACTGCAGCCTTCTCTTGGACATCGACACACAGTCCTTTCTGGAGCATGAGTTTTCATGTGCTGCTTAAGGTAATCTTTGCGCGTAAATGTTTTCTGACATACTTCGCACATTATTTCCTCTGGGGAAGCAGACAGACAGATTTAACCCACTTCCCACATTATTACCACACAAGAAAAATTCAGTGTGTATTATACTCAATGTCCAAAACTTTACGACTACATACACATCAGAAATTTCTGAGGAAACTCTGGCCCTCATTTTTACTGCTGGGAGTTTGCCAAAGTTCTCCCAAGTTCTTAAATCACTCCTGAACTCCGTGGCTGTTGAGCTCAAGGAGCAGAGCTTCTCAGTGTGACTGTGGAGAAAATGAAACAACTGCTCACAGTATCCTTCCTCGTCACCCAATACAGGCACCATTTGCCAGCACACCCAGAGCATCAGAGCTCCCAAGACTCCTGGATCCTTCCTGTGCTAAGATCATACCAGCACAAGCTGAGGCTTGGCCCTGCTCTGCTCACCTGTCAGCTATGGAAAAACAGAAAATGGAAACCCCTTACTTCACCACACACATGAACTGTTTCACTCTGAATTAGCTACGTCAATTCTGCAGTGGCAAACACACCATGCTTTTCATGCCTGCCTTACCTTTATGGGTTTCTCTCATGTGTTTCAGAAGTTCTGTCCATGTTTTGGCCACAAAAGAACATCCCTTTTGACACACATAGCCTGTTTGAAGGGAAAAAAACAAAAACAAAAACTATTGGTGCAATGCCTGTTCTGAATATTCAGTCGACGCTGACCATGATTAGAATAGAACTTTGTATGTCTACATAATCTTTGTCTTGTCTCCCAGTAATATTCTGTTCTGTGGGACTCAAGAGGTAAGAATAAGCTAAGAAAAGTCTATGTGATGTAAAACCACACAAATGTCCAGCAAAGTGCTTCATGTCAGCCCAGTCTATGTCCCCTTTCCCTGCCTGCTAAGGCCTGCCTCTTTCTTCCCTCAGCAAAAGTGTTCCCTGGCCCCTTTGTCCTTGGCAGACCAACACCAAACCTCAGGATTTACAGTGCCCGCCCCCTGGCCACCTCTAGCCTTATATCCAGTTTCATACAGCAGAAAAGGAGAAGGGTATAGTCACGGAAGAAAATAAACCCGCAGACCCCAGAGAAAAATACTGATCAGAAAGGACACTGCAAATCACCAGAACTGGATGACATAAATGCCAGGCTGAGTTCCACCCACTATAAAAAGCAAATTGGCTGCCTTGCACTCTTCCTCACTAATCTCTAGTTAAATTCTAGGAGCTGGGACATTGGTGTAGAGATTAAAAAAAAATTATCCATGGAAACAATAAATATATGGAGTTGACGGAATCAAGTGTTTTTTGTTATGATACAATACCATGTGTCTGAACACCATGAATTATCCCAGCCTTTTGAATGGCCCTTTGGAAAAGAACAGCACAGGTATGAACAGAAGAGGTTAAAAACAACATAAGGCAAAGCCTTGGCAGAAGCACAGACCAATCCGAAGATAAAGCACGACCAGACACTGGGCCTGAACAGTACAACACTGTGTCTGCACAACCGGGACAACTGGAAGGACCAATATCTAGACTTTAGACTCGAGAACAAGGCTGAGTAAGCAGACCAGCATCCTTCTTGCCTATCTCCCAGCAAGATAATGGAATAGACAAGAAAGCACCACATAGTCAAAGAAATACACACACACACAATCCATCAATCACTGAATTAAACGCCCTACTGTCAGTGTTTTTCAACATGAGATACACAAGACTGACCATACCTACCCTTGTGGACCTTCCCGTGTCGCTTCAGGCTGCTGGGTGAGGCAAAGTGCTTCCCACATCCTTCCTGGGTACACCTGGGTTAGCAACACATGAAAAATTACATGGTCCACTTCAGAAAGCTCCACTTAGGGTAAATGGTACTTTTTCCTGATTCTCTTACCAAATTCTTGCTTCTTTCCATAATAAAATCAGCCACAGAAATATAAGATTTAAAAGGTAGGCCTAATCACAGGTGAAAATCAAATTGCTTGACCAGCCCTGAGGTAAATGAAATGTTTGAGAGAAAGAATGCACTTTGCTTTTTTTTTGCTTATGTGACTAAATTAAAAACTGTTTTCATTTTTATACCCTGACTCTGCTGTCATTGCTACACAAACACTTTAGGAAGTTGTCAACTTGGTATAGGAAATTCCAGCCATTCTGAGCTGTCTTCAGCATCTCAAACGATGCTGCACTGGGGTTGTGTGATTAAAAAAAAAAAAAAAGAAAAAAAAAAAGAAAAACTACCGCAGCATCCAGAGCCTCAGGTGAGCAGCAAAAAGCAGGTGCTACTCAATGCTAAAACCATCAGAGCACAAAGATAATCTGCAGACCTGCAGGCCAGCACAGTACTGTCACTGCAGCGAATGCAGGGAGAGTGTTGCATCTATGAGCCACAGCAAAAGACTGCCCAGCCACCAGGGAGCACCAGTGTGAGGTGGCAGAATAAATCCCTCAGTGCCCGTCACACTCTATTCCAAGGTGTCCAGCCACCCTTGCATGTCTTGAAGACATCCTCTGACTGCAGGCTAAGCCTGGTTAATTCTGTTAGGTTCTACGAGGAGTGACTTGTCTTTATACTGGCATTTCAGACAAGTGAACAGGCTCTACTTGAACGTTGTTCTTCAGCCTTCCCTTCAAGCTTAACCACAACTATAACCACCTCACAAATTATTATGAAACATATTAAATATTTCTTTTAAAGAAACAAAATCAAAATTTAACCTTTCAAATGCCATATAAATGGGCATACACAATACACACTATTTGCAGAAAAGGGCTGTTTGGGAAATGACTTCAGAACACCTGCACCCAGCCTCTGTGTCTCAGTCTTCTTCACACTGAGTGATGCAGAACATCAGCCACAAGCAGCACCCACCTGAATGGTGGCTCCCTGGTATGCTGGCACTGGTGGATTTTCAGCTGCTGGTGTTTCTTAAAGGCTTTCTTGCAACCTTCAAAATTGCACTGTTTAGTAAAGGTTTGTTAGTCTTGAGAAAAAACAAAAAATCAACAGTTCACAACAATCCTCAAGATAAAACTATTTTGGAGATTATGCAGTTGCCACTTTCACCCTTACAGCTACAGTAAAATTCTATGTTAAGTCAAGAAGCTTTAAAGATTAATGACATTTCAAAAAGCAAAAACATTTTTGTGGGGGTAGTTGCCCAATGATATACTTTACTTTAATGCACACAAGGTTTGTGAATTAAAACTTATCATTAGGATAGTCAGTGCCAGACTAAATTTAGATACTTGCCAGACAAAATTTGGATGATGAAAACTTTAGAAATATAAGCAATATAAGTATAAAAAAATTCACAAAACTTAACCATGTAAAGTCATCAGACTTACCACATATTGTTTTTGCTGATTTTCATGTTTGCGTTCAAAATGTTTCTTCAGGTTTGATTTCGTATTGAATTTTTGATCACAGCCATTAGCAGTACAACTATAAGAAATGGTATAAACTAATATTAACAAGCCAAGGAAAGAAAAGTTTTAAGATATATATACCTTCCTACTTTATGAAAGCTAATTATTACAAAAAATAGTAGAAAATAGTCTTCAGTAAATTCCAAAATGTTGTGCTGGGGTATGGCTCAGGGGAAGAACATGTGCTTAGCATTCCCAGCCTTGGGTTTGATTTCCAGCAACACCAAAAAAGGAAGAGACTGACAGAGAAAATTCCCAAGGTGCTAATTAAGCCACACCATGCAGGCCTCTCAACTTCATGTGACCATCAAGTAACACGGCACTTTTTCATGTTTGACAGCCTCCACTAAACCTCAAATCCAGCTTAAGTCTAGTTAGTCTCAATGCAGAATCTGATAACCTTAATTTTGCATGAAATGTCACTATAAATTGCCTTAAAAAAGACCTCAGAAAACCTGGTTTCTTCAACATTAATGGTAAAACATGTAGTACAGACACTGGCATGACTCCAAGCCATTCATATTGGCATCTAGTCTTTAAACTGTGCACAGTGGAGGCACACCACTTGCCCTTTCTTCCTCCTTGACAGGTGGAATGCTAATATGATAGCTGGGGCTCCAGCAGGCATGTAGGACCATGAGGTTGATGCTCCAAGATGCTAAGGGCAGAGAGACCAGTTAGAAGGGGCCCAGGCCCATGAAGACCTTAGATCCCCCTGGACCCTTACCTCTCTATACTTCCATATTTAGTCACACAAGACAAAAAGAGCCTATCTTGTCCAAGCCACTTGTTCTAAGTTTCTGTCATTCTTGGCTTTAAATATAATAGCCATCTAACTCAACATGAGTGTGAGAACTAAAGAGCAGGGGCTGCAGCAGGAAGGACCATGGCATACTTGGGATAAGGGAGAAGTGTTTGTTAGTTCAGCATAGCTGGGGTATAGTTTCTTTTTACTAAGAGTCAGGGTCTTACTGTGCTGCCCAGACAGGTCTCTAACTCCTGGGATCAATGATCCTCTTGTCTCAGCCCTTTCAGCAGGCTGGACTATAGGCTTGGACCATAATGTCACATCCTAGAGTCAAATTGATGGGCAAATAAGCAAAAAAGGACCAAATTGCACCAGCCATTTATATGATGTACTAGCGACCTTGAGTTCATATAAACAGAGCTCAAAACCATTTTTTTTTTTTAATGGTAACGGGGCTCAAACTCAGGCCTTTACACTTGCAAGGCAGGTGGTGGAACCACTGAGTCAAATCCCCGGCCCTCAAAACCATTGGTTTTAAGGGAAGCCACTTGGGGTGACTTGGGAGGGGGCCAATCAGGAGCACAGAAAAACACTTCAGGCACTGAATGAGGACTGAGGACCTGCAGCAGGACAGGTGCAAGGCAGGTGGAGGTCCAGGAGGAAGTTAAAGACCTTATGATGTCTGTGCTGCAGGGGATCAGAAAGATGAAGAGGGAGCCACCTTATCTTTCTGTGGGTCACCAGAGACAGTGGTTTCACCTACCACGACAAGAACGGGGAGCAGAAGACCAATTCATTCATGTCACCAGGTCTATGTGCCCCACACAACCCATTTCAAAGGCCTAAACCCATTTCTCCACTCACACAAACGGCTTTTCTCCAGTATGAATCAGGATGTGGCGACTCAGATGGTAGTCTCTGATGAAGGCCTTGCCACAGCCTTCATAGTCACAAGCAAATGGCCTCTGGAAGAAAAGGAAAGAAAAAACATGTTAGTTCTGCCCTCGTTAATAACTCTGGTTATTAATTAAAAGCCTAAAATACCTAACAGGCACAGCTACTGAATTCCTCTGTGGAGATAGATGGCTTCCGCTCAGCAAGTATAGCAATACCGACCACACCAAGGCGAAACCGTTTTCCTGCATCAAATTTTACAGCAGAAATGCCACAACCTATCACAAAATCACACATCAGATTTTGGTCTATGGATAACATATGAAATAAGCAGGTGACCTTCCACAGCATTGCTAACCTGCCCCTAACCCAGCACCTGGGTTCCCCAGCAGCTCACTTTTTCACATCACTGCCATTAGCATACCCCATCTGCACAGATCTCCACCTGCATGATTGCACCTTGTAAAGTCAGCGGGGGGCAGAGGAGAAGGTTCTGTCTCAGCCTTGTCAAGCCCAGTGTCTGCACTAAAAAAATGCCAGGTACAGCTACAAAAAAACGTGTCATACCTGAAAATGCTGACAGGTGCTACAGAAAAACAAGGAAAACAGCTCACAGCCCTAATTGCTACTACAATCTGGGGGTGGGAGGAGCTCCATTCTGAACCTAACCAGCTTTGAGTGTCTGACTGTGGAAAGGGTACCACTATGACAATGAGGAAGGAGGTACCAGTACATCAGAGTATTAAGAGCAAAGCCAGTGGTCAGGAAGACAACAACTATGACTTCAAGTGTTCCAACATGTATGAAGAAGCAGTGCCAATATCCAGCAAATAAGTCTAAAAAGAAAGCTGTATTTTGACATATAGGCGCCAAAATGGGGGGGGTGCTATGGAGAGGGTGGAATAGACAAGAGGAAGAAAGGGGAAGCACAGCATAAAGGCTTTCCAATGAAGCCAAAGCAAGATGGGGTGCACAAAGCAGAGGGCAGAGGAGGAACCAAGGGAGAGGGCTGTTTGCACAAATTATAGTCCGTAGCAGCTCTAGGAGATCTAGTCTAGTCTAGGAGGTCTAGGCGCTTAGCCTAGTGCTTGGTGGGGATGAGCGATGCATCCCGCGCACGTGTTCAAGGCTTACCGGTAGGTACTGACCCTGTGAAACTCAAGATCAACGTATGGGAAAGGGTTGCTTAGGGAGCCTTGAACCTACAGCAAAGCCATCGCGGTCCCAGCACAAAGCTCCTAGAACTGTCCACTTGCTCAGTTCCTTCCCTAAACTCAGGACGCTGCACCCGCTGCGCAGGCGACTACGCAGGAGCTCCGCGAAAGGCTCCCGGGGGCCACTGGCTCACATCCGGGCGGGCGCCACGCCCCGCAGCGGCCTCATTACCTCCCCTGTGTGCTTGCATAGGTGCGCATCGAGCTTCCAGGCCTTGCTGTAACTGGCGCCGCAGTCGGGGAAAGAGCAGATGAACCTCCTAGGGAGTGGCGGGAGCGGCGGGGGAGGGGCTGCGCTCTCGCCAGCCGCAACGAACGCGTCTGCAATGGTCAGGGAGGACACCGCCTCTGCGACCGAGCCGGGTGGCTCCAGGGCGTCCGCGGGCCAGGAGCGCAGCCACGTGCTGAAACACAGCTAAGACCCGCCGTGCACTTCCGGGAGTGCAGTCCCGCTAGTAGGGTCCCGGCCCCTCCTCTTTCCCACGCGAGTGCCGCGCATGCTCTGAAGGGCTGCGCATGCGCCGGGAAACCTGGTGGCGGCCCGTGCCCCTCCCTCCCTGCGTGAGAGGCTGGGGTTTCTGAGTCTAGAGCTAAGTAAGGTCTTACAGGTAGGACAAGTTACGAAGCACTTCTTAACTATGAATTGTTTACCATCCACCGCTGGCCTCTAGGAAGTGCTAACCTTGCATAATTTAAACGAGCCTGCTATTCACATCTCTGCCCGCTGCGGATTCATTTCCTTGCATCTAATCTACATCATTACGCTGCAATCCCCAGAACAGTGGATCCTAAGGTTGTGTGCCTATTAGAGTCTCGTGGAGATCTTTGCAAGTTGCAAAGTTTATAGCATAAGTGGACCAGTTAAACTCCCCAGATGGTTCCAGTGTGCAGGAAATCATGGGAACCGCTACCCTGAGGCTTCGCAGCTCAGTGGTCTGTGAATCAGCCACATCTTCAGAGAGAGGTCTCTCCAGCCTACCTGAATCAGAGATTTCCAGGTGATTGGATGCATAGGAAGTTCTAAGAAGCACTGTTGAGCGGATCGAATGAATGTGGGTAGCATGGTTTATGAGGATCACGTTTCTAGGGTTCTCTGAGTAACAGTAACAAAGTGGATAGTCTGATGTTCCATGAGGTATTTTTCACGTCATTCCAAATCACCAGGGTAGTGTCAGCCTGACTGATGAACAGGTCTCTGCATTATCACCTGGGAGCATCAGAAAATGATGGTCTTGGGGTTGCCGCCCACACCATTGAAATGAGTCTCTGAACTGGGATGGAAAACAGAGAGCATCCTGATTCTTCTTCCTCTCTACCTTACTGGCTTCTGCACCTGCCCTGTTCATTCTCCCTCTCAACAGGCTTTCCAGCCCTTAAACTCTCTTGCCTGTGTTTGCCTTCTCCCTAAAACATCTGAGACTTTATCGGTATGAGTTTGCAAGACTGGTTTTTGAAAAGTATTTTTATTCCTCAGAGCTATTATTCCCGCAGAGTAGGTGACAGTGCCCTCATGTAGGAAATGGGAGTGCAGGGCTCAGCCTTTTGTCTATGCCTGGATCAAGTTCTGCATCTTCTCGATAAACCTCACCTGACCACTACTGCCACCTTTTCGCCTTTTGTGGGCCTTTCTATAGCACTAAGTAGATGATCCTCAAATGTGCTGGGACTGTTAACTATTTAGGTTTATAATTTCCTCTTTCCCTGATCTTGATTTAACCTCCATCAGGGCAAGAACTGGAAGATTAAAGTAGAATAAGCCAGGCACAGATATACAGATATTGCTTGATCTTATTCATATGTAGAAGCTAAAAAAATTGATCTCATGGAAGTAGAGAAAAGCAAAGTGGCACTAGATCCTGGAAAGAATGAGAGGGAGAAGGGAGAGTGGGAAGTTCCACAATGGAACCAAAAATACTTCAGATAGAGTAAGTTCTAGTGCTGTACAGCACAGTGGGGTGACTATGATCTACAAAAATTAGTGATATATTTCATAATAACTAGAGAAGAGCCCAGAGGTTTCCAATACATAAAAATGATAAATTTTTGAGATCAAAGTGCTAATTGCCTGGATTTGATCATTAAACACTGTATGTATGTACTAAATTGTCAGTCTGTAGTCCATAAATGTGTAAAAATATGATATGTCGATTAAAATGAAAAAAGAACGGACAGCAATTGGTACTGCCTGGTAATGGCAGGTGAAAGGATGTGATGAAACTAATTTATTCCTAACCAAAAGCAAGGTTTCAATGATACAATTTTGGGGGAATTGGAAAATGAATTATGTAAATAGCAGAAAGGAATATGTTGTATATTAAAATTATATGAGACTTGAGTATCATTCAGTGTAGGGAAGAATTCTAGGACCCATGTAGACCAGCACAACATTGAGGGGACACTGGGTCAGCAAATGGTTTTCTGGGAACCCCTGTGGTTGCTTCAGCTCATGAATCTCCAAGTATAATCGAATAGGTGGCTCCAATCCCTGAGGAGACAGCCATGAACAAAACCTGTCAGATCCCTGCCAAAGGTGCAGAATCTAGACCTTGTTTTAACCTTAGATGGAAGGAAGGCAAGGGCATAAGGTGCTTGGGGACGAAGGTGGGGAAGGACAGGGTTTTGCTGAGTAAGGATGAGAGAGAAGCTGAAATCACTGGTTGGAACCCACTGTCCTGTTTTGGTGATATCACTACCCAGAGCTAGTTTGCTTATTTCTTTTACAAATTTAAATTTGCCCTGAAGCCCTTTCTGAAAAGAACCATACAGAGCCATCTTGTGGCGAAGGAGGAAAACACCCACACAGTTTCAGACCTGAATACTTCATTGGCTTTCATTTGACATGAGCAGTGGTAACTAGATCTGCAGGCTGCTATATTCTTGATTCTTCCCATATGGTCAGGCAGCATTTTAAAGTGGTCAGCAAATGTTGACAGCAATCTATACTTGTCCCCTAACACATTTACCGCAGGTAATTAAGTTAACTACCTGATAAAAATGTAATTGGATGCTGTAATGCTAGCTATTGTCTGAAATGACTTTGACTGACAGTTACTTGTGTAGGCTTCTTAGTTGTCTTTATAGGCACAGAATCAAATCCAAATTTGGTCATTATTTGTTATTAAATTAAAGTAAACGGCCAAATTGGGTAATCATGATCTGGGAAGATTTTATTATTTGCCTCAATGATAGGGCTTGGATTTTTATATTGTTAGAACATAATAAGAAATTAGTCAGATTGCTCACTAATGCTGCCAAATGCTGTGCAGCAGCCACACCCTCCATGTCAAGAATAAACCTAATTCATCAGAGATGATTCCAGGAGGCCACAGAATATCAATCTGTGTGCTGCAGGAATTCCTGTTGCCTCTCCTGAAAGCGTCCATCATTTCTCACAAGCCTTTTATTGCATTACAAACAGAATCAACACATGCTGGGTTCCATGAGACCATGGAGAACATGCCTACGAGATTCTGGGAACAGACATTCAGGGTGTGAATTGCAAAGCAGCTGCTGCCTGAACACCAGTGTCCCCTGCAGGTCCAGGGCTGCTATAAATGGCTTGAACAGTGACAAGATTTCATCAGCTATGACTGGCGATGTGGGTTTGTGCCTTTGCTACTGCAAACCCCAACTCTGAAATACGCAGTCCCTTGTGTAAACTCCATGGACATAAGCACCTTGAGCAATTGTTATAAAAGATGCTTTTCAAAAGTAGGACAGTTTAGGGTTTTCCTTGCTCTCTGCCCAGCATTTGTGTCCACTTATTCCAGCAACTTCCCAGCAGCCTTCAGTGTTAGAAGGCCTCGACGATACCATGTCCCTGATGCCAAGTCTCAAGACAGAAAGCAAAGGAACCTTAAGGGCTCAGTGTGGTGTTGACATCTCCAGGCATAAAACAACAGCCTCAAACCCATGGCTTTGGCCATGCACTTCAAGTTTGCTAAACAGAATTCAGACCAGTTTTTAAAATTAATCCTTCCAATGTCCAGAGGGAAGATTGGAATTTGTTTCCTTCTCCTCCAAACCTGCTCAGCCCCCACTCCTCACCCCAGCAGCAAGCTGATCTTTGCCCAGCAGACATAGAGGCACCTTTTCAGCCTCAGCCAGAAGCCCATGGGGGCCTCTGAGCCTGCTGACTTCCTGTAGGGTACACTGACCTTCCCATGTGTTAGCTCCTGGCCATGTTGGTCTTATCCTGGTTTCATGTGTGCCACGTGACACCTGCACTTCCCTAGTGAGGCAAAAAGTGCCATGGTTGCAAGCAAAGCTCAAGTCTCAGGACCTAAATGTTCACTGTAGGCCTGCCCCATGCCAGAGAACAGATAATGGACAAACACATCACATTCCACATGTAGAATCTGTGAATGATTGCTGGTTACCCAGGAGTTTGGGGTCAGAGACAGAAATAAAATGAGAATTTTCGATGATGTGAGTGGTATTCATGCCTCAGGTACATTTGCTGATGGGTATGGGCCCTAGGAAGTCTATATGCTCTGACATCTTAGAAACTCAATAGTTCTCACAAAATATGCAGCATCTGTCCCAATGGGGGACTGGGCTAAGGTGGCCTTTGGCTTTGAATGGCTCTCTCCTGTTGTTGGCTATACCCTGCGATGTTCACCTCAGTGCACATAGGCAGCAGGAGGAAGTCAAAGAGGCTGTCTGTGCTGCCAATTTCAAATTACCCCTTGAAAATACAGTTCCCTTTATAGAGCAAACAGGATCACCTAGTTCACTTACAGAGCAAGAAAGAACTTTATCCATCATTAATGTTTTACTACCTTTCTCAAAAAGCATCACCTTTAACCTCCAGATCAACTCTAAACCAAGGCTAAGGAGCAATAGTTCCCAGGTCAGTTCCGGGTGCTGGGGCTGTCCCTGTGCCAATGCTGTTTCCATCTGGAGAAATAAATAAACAGATAGATAAGCTCTTTAAAGCACATGATGCAGCAGACCCAGAATCTCCAAAGCAGAGATAGCCAGACACTTGGCCCTCATTTGGGGTGATATATGGCTGTCTGCCCAAGTGCTGCCTGGCCTGGGCGTGAGCTGGGCCCCTGTAGACCTGGGTGGTAAAGGAAACCCTTCCTTTCATGGCTTGGAGAACAGTAGGGCACCAGGTAGACCAAGCTAATTGCTTGGTTAACTCAGTCCCAGCAGAAATTGACCAAATGATGCCCCGAAGAACATGGTGCTTCCACAAATACACAAGGCTAACTGCCAGGAAAGACCAGCAAAGATCCTGCTGGACACAAGGATTGCATTGACCCTAAAATTCTAGTCAGATTGGTAATGACTAGAAATGGCCTTAGAGAAGCCAAGCCAGGAGGCCAGTGGAGACCTCAGTAATGTGGTAGCAGCCTCCAGAGCCTGTGCCACCTACCCTAACACCCAGCCCAACTTCAGCTAAGCAGGGAATTATCTCATGTATAAATGACAGGCCACTCTAACACTTTCATTTTTATAGATGACTAATGCCTAATTATTTGTGACCTAAGAAGTGAGTCATTAGGAGCCAGTACAATTTATTATTCCTGCACTAGAATTAGCACTGAGCTAGAATTTACTGAAGGTTTGACTTCAGATCCTATCCAAAGGCCTGGCTGCCTCTGTGGCCAACAATGTGGCATGGTTAGAATTTATGTGGAGAAAGAATTGCTTTATTATCAGTGATGTTTTGAGTTGGTTGCACTTTACAACTACTGCTTTTCTTGTTTTTTGTTTTGGGGGTTTTTTTGGGTACTGGTGATCAAACTCAGGACCTTGCACTTAAAAGGCAGGCAGTGGAACCACTGAGCTAAATCCCCAGCCCTGCTTTTCTTATTTTTAAGTTTAACTTACCATTAGTTTCATGTCTTTATTCACAACATAATTTGTCACAGAATTTTTAGGTAGTGTGCAGTGGTATGTTTTGGCATCAGCCTATACTATTCAAGTGTTCCTCAGCACATAAAAGCATGGAATTCACTTATGAACCATCCATGCCTCTATTGCCAAATCAGCAATATACATAATTATGGTACACATATATGAGGAGCTTCCTTTTTATGCTATATGGAAACT